GAAGACGTGGCTCGGTGGGGGGGGGTACAGTTCGTTGGGTTAGGGATTGCACCTCGGAATTTGTGAAGACCGGCGCTCTATCGAGTCTACTTAGTAACCTCTCCGTCACCGAGGCCCATTGGTACAGTTGGTATGACGCTCGCGTCGAATCATAATAGTCCGGGTTCGATTCTCGGTAGTGTATGCACACTACTACTCAGTCCCAAATATAGGACGAAACGGCCGTCCAGTGCTTTCTGTTGAAGATTCTTCTAGACTCGATGAATTATTTAGTCAAGAATATATATATATATTGCTTTAACAAAAACTACGTTGCCTTCCTTTATGAATCTAACATTAAGACGCTAATTAGAGAACTAGCAATTATTATAAACATAATATGTCTATATTATTCAATAAAACATGCTTGAATGAAGATATGCTGCGTCCCATATTATCTAACACTCAGTAGCCCCTTTTGTCTTAGTGGCTTTATTACCTTGCTTGACGTTGAAATTAATATATATATATATATATATATATATATATATATATATATATATATATATATATTCGTTTCATCCCCAAGCAAGGCAATAATGCCACTATGAAACAAAAGGTTACTGAGTGTGAAATAATATAGAAAAAAATCATTATTAAGGAGAAATAATAATAATATATGAATTTAGAAAACAAAACATAACGATGACATTTCATTTAAATTTTTGTAGCTGACTGTAAAGCAAGAACCCGGAAGAGAGTTCCACAAGCGAGAAGTGCGAGAGAAAAAAACTGTTATCATAGAACTTACGGTGACATTTGGACATCTCAACCGTAAAAGCCAGCAATCTAATACTTCGCTTCAATTCATAAAGACGAGGTAACAAAAAGGAAAGCTCACCAGAACAATTACCGTGAACATAATAGAAAAGGCACGGGAAAGTGACTGAGACCGAGATGCCAGGTTACGGACAATAATATTGCAGATTATTCTTAAATTAAATCCTTATCGGAATGTGTGAAAGTAGTTGAACCCATCGGTCAGATACAGTGTTAACTGGGTCATTTTCTTGGATCGGCCTCTGGGAAAAACGCCATCCGAACTTCACTGGTCATTGACGTAAAAAATGAAATGAATCGTATTGTTCAAATATCTGTATATAATTTACTCTTCTTGTATGCCTATACACACAACAGTTTGAAGTAAACATCCTGATTGTCAAGCTTCCGTCCTGGGCAAAACGATAAACTCCATCCGGTAGCAAGGCCTTTGATCAGGAGGTTTTGAGGAGCGTGGAAGCACCTCTTAATTGCTGGTGTTCCCAGGTCCATCCTGACCCGGGGTGGTAGTTCCCCTTACGCTCTTAGCTATGGGCAAACATTTAATCCCTAAACTGGGGTCAAAACACTATGAAAGTGTAAAAATAGAATTTAGTACCAGCAATAAATTTTTGTAAAAAATTATTATCAGCAATACATTTTTGAAAAAAAGAATTACCATCAATACATTTTTGAAAAAAATAAAAATATTACCAGCAATAAAAATCATATCGGTATTAAATAGCCCATTGAGGTTGATATACCGTAAAACAAACCAACCCAAAGCAAATCGTCAAGCTTATCAGTGGCTTATTTCATTGTCACATTGTGAAAATAAAGCGGGTAATTTTGAAATAAAATAAAAATTGACTGACTTGTACTTTAGTTGCTTGGTTGGTTGCTTTTGCTTAACAGCATATCAACCTCTATGGATCATTTAATACCGTGCGAGACAGGAGGATTTCTTTGATAACAAAGAAAAGAGTATTGAACTGTTATGTGACATCTGTCTTTCACGGCAGAGAATGTTGAACGGTCTGCTCAAAGATGAAGAAGTGACTCGAGGCGACGTAGATGTGTTTCTACAGAAGGATGCTAAGGATATCATGGACCGAGCTTGTGAACAACGATGAAGTCTTGAAGAGGATGCAAAAAGGAGGGGGCTTATACTTAACATCATGAAGAGGAAGCTGACATTTCTGGGACACGTTATGGAGAAGGAGGGCCTGGAGAATTTGATACTCACAGGTCGAATAGAGGCAAAGAGCGACAAGGGAAAGCAACGTATGACATATCTGGCGGGCTTAAGCAAGTGGATGACAGAATGTGGTCTGGAGGGAGGTGGCAGAGGGATGAAACTTATTGAGAGCTACAAGGGATAGGGTGAAGTGGAGAGCCATGATCGCCTATGTCCTGAAAGGTTACAGCACATGAAAAGAAAAAAATAGTTGTAATTTCTAAGCTTAGAAAATCACCATAGCTGGTGAGAAGAAGAGGTGGATTCATGCCTTTCCCAAGGGTATTTGCGTGTAAGTGAATATAACGAACCCAACAGGAGTTTGAACTCGGCTCTCCGATTAACTATTCCAAACCAGTATCCATTACACCACCCGCACATCTAAGCTTTCAAAACCTGATATTCCTAAGTGGTCACTCATTTAGGCACTGACGTTGCTTAACTTCGGTGATTGTACGGAAACTGGCGTTTCCACGTGATGTGAACTTTTGTTGTTGTTTGTGCAATTGTTTTTTGCGGGTATGGCATCCAATGATGTTTTTAACGTAAACAAATTTAAAATTCATAATCAACACACGACTCATGCAGAAAGACGCGAGACCCTTCTACGTGGTGTAATTGTTAGCTAGATCGATTATGATTGAATAGCGAGTTCGATCATGCCACATCACCATATAGCATTAAAATGTTACCTTTCAGAATATGAATATACTGAAAGAATGGTCGATTGGTTATATTTTTTGAGCCATGTTCAATCTTTACAAGTATCAGATCAGATAAGAATGGAGTAATGCTACTGTATCTGGGCTGGTGCTTCTCAATCCACATTGCCCAGCCTCGACAGAGTTCGAAAGCGCATTCCACCGCTTTGAAGCTGGTCAATAATTATCCTCCAGCCTGCAAGCCTTATTCCACAGACGAAACATTGTCACCCTTTCACTACGAATATTGCAATTACGCTCGGACGAATTATACTCCTTAGTGCCAGAAGCTCGGATCTTTACAGCTCGTACCTACTGGCAATCCATCCCCACTCCCTTCATGTTCCTTTCATAAAAAGCATGTTCCATTCACAGAGCTTCTTACTCAGAAAAGATGCTTTGTGGAACAAACTCCCGAGTGAATACTTCCCTAACAACTACAACCTTGGTCTGTTTAAGTCCACCAACCGTTATCTAACCTACTCTTCCTCATAATATTCTCTTACTTTCCCTTCCTTTTACAATTTCACTTAGTAACTCTCTATCTTGAGTGGCTCCTGGGACTTTTATTGGGTGAGCTAACAGTAAAAAAAAATGTATATTTGTCATGCATTTTAGTCGCGTTTGAAACGAAACCACGTGTTCAAACCCCACCAATTGAAAAACGCGACGGGTTTTTGTTGAATCCAATATTCCAGAAACCATAAAAAATTGTTCAATACTAAATACTAAATATTTCTGGTTCAGTAATAAATGCTAAATACTTCTGGTTCAATACTAAATACTTCTGCTTAAATACTAAATACTTCTGCTTCAACACTAAATACTTCGGGTTCAATACTAAATGCTTCTGGTCCAATACTAAATACTTCTGATTCAATACTAAATACTTCTGCTTAAATACTAAATACTTCTGCTTCGACACTAAATATTTCTGGTTCAACACTAAATACTTCTGGTCCAATACTAAATACTTCTGGTTCAATACTAAATACTTCTGCTTAAATACTAAATACTTCTGCTTCGACACTAAATATTTCTGGTTCAATACTAAATACTTCTGGTTCAATACTAAATATTAAATGTGTAGAAATAGAAAGTTGCCTAGAAAATCAGCGTGCTAGTATTTCAGTTACTTCTCTCTATTAACCATCTGAGATGACCCTTGCTGCCTTCCATCAGTATGGCTGATGCTAACCTCTAGGAAAGTGACTCGTTGCACTTTCTCAGGCTGACATGAAATGGAAGGACTATATTGAATCTGTTGCTAGGTCAACTGCTAAGAAAGTTGGTTCACTTCAGAATCTATGATACATGTTTAGAATATTGCTGCCACCTATGATCCAGTGACCCTGCTATTTACCTTGAGCTCCTTGATAAAATCCAAAGAAGAATCAGCAATATCATTGGTCAGGATCTGGCTGCTCAACTTCAGTCACATTCCCACCGGCGTAAGGTTGCTTCACTGTGTCTTTTCTATAAATGCATTCAGGCTAATTGTTTGTATCAGCTCTTCGCTATGATAACTAGATTTTTTGAATTTAAGTGCGATACCAGACTGCCGTCGAGATCTCATCAATTTACAGTTAAGCTGGCTAGATGTAAACGTAAGTTCTATGCTAACAGTTTCCTTTCTCGCACTTTTCGCTTGTGGAACACCTGGCTCTATGCTTTCCAGTCGTATTTAATCTCCCAACATTGAAAAGCAATGTCAATCGCTACCTACTGCCCGCTTGATTACTCTTTTCTTTTCTCACTCATCAGTAATTCTTCCACACCTAGTAACACCTTGTGTCTTAGTGGCTTTGCTGCCTTGCTCGGGGTGAAATTCATTTAAAAAGCGCTAGTTAAAAAAAAGAAAAAAGAAAAAGAATTTACTAAAATTTCCTTGGTAGAGCAAACAGAAGAATGGGGAAAATGCCAATTTTTCAACTTTCATAGCCAGAAAATTCCTTTCCGAAAAGATTCTTATTTTATACCTGGGATCTAACACTGACGTAAGGTAGCAGTGGCAGATACGTAATATTGCAATCATCAAAGCAATCCACCACGCCCGCTTAGACTTCGTAGCCCCGCCTACCACTGCAAAGCAACAGGGAAGCCTCACTCACATCCAGCCTCCACATCTTTGGCCTCAATTTAATGTTTACTTTCAGTCCCCACTTTGGCGCCGCCTTCCTCTTTCAACCAACCCGGTTTACCATTAGGCATTTTCTCTTCGAAATCTTTTGACATTATCTCTAATACAGCTTATCGATATTGAAATGCAGATCCACTCTATTCGTTCTAATGCGTCGGGCGTGCGTTCGTTTCATTGCACGCATGTTCAGCCAGGCGGCCTGTATCTTTTAGCAAATATGCCGCCTACCGACAAGCTGCTGCTGATTGTTGACCTGATTTCATTTTCCTCCTTTCCTTGTTTCCTTCCACTGTTGATAATTACGTATTTATTTTTATCTCTTTTTTTTTAGCTGGGTTCGAACACAGATATCTGGCATTTTAATTTTGCGACATCCTACGGCAAATTTTAGTTTAGTATTTAAGAGAATTGGAAGAATTATTCTCTTTTTTATGGCTTATCAACCTTTTGTAGGTCATTTAAAGCCAGAACATTTTTAGATTGTAAGATGTTTTCAAATAATAATGATTTTTACTGATAAAATTTCTACTAATTAACCCTTTAGCTGATGGGAAAGAAATGAATTCTTACATGTGCAAGTGTATTTACGCGTAAGTGAATTTAAGGCACTCATGAGGAATTAGAACGATTTTAAATTCCAAGCCGTTAACCATTTTACACCACTCATACGTCCAACCACACGGTACCTGTTATCCCTAAAAAGTCCCTCATCTAAGCATTGACCATGCTCGACATTGCTTAACTACGGTGATCGTACGAAAACTAGTGTTCCAATGTGATATGGCCGTAAGCTGATTTACATAGTCGGAAAGATTTGGAAATTTGGCGCTACATAATCTTACCTCTCACATTCAACCACCTTTTTTCTCTGTTAATATAGGATGATTACACCGTTGCTCTGTCTTTTAGAATATATCTATTGCGGTCAGGGTTTGTTGGTTGAGAGAGTCGCGTTTCTCCCTGTTTCTTTGTTCGATCTAGTGAAAGCCAGGAATTTACTAATAGTTAAGGCTAGGATACAGCTATCTGACTTGAATTACTGATGTAACACAGTCTTCCTTTCCATATTTTCTCTTTAATTTGGCCTTGTTCATTATTAACTTCAATAAATATAAACAAAGTTAAATCCTATTTAAGTCATTTACTATAAATATGTATTGTTTTTTTTCCTTGGTGGGGAAGCTGTGACTATTTCCCCATAGCTGGGACCCGATCAGATGCTACTATATATGGCTAGCAATTAAGAGGTTGTTCAACGCTCCATAAAGCCTCCTACATCCTGATCTTTCTGCCAGATGTAGTTTATCGTCATACCCAGGATTGAATGGTTGCTTCCTCTGGCTAAGCTCAATCTGCACTGTTATTTAACCCATGCCTATGGTCACTGCCAAACCACACTGTTGGTTTCAAATATAAGTAGGCTTTATAGTAGTTGGATTGCTAACCGGTTTTGTTATCTTTCTAGTAGACTGGTTGCCAGCGAAAACTAGAAAACCCAGTCACTTTATTATTTAATCTATCAGTGGGGGAAAGAAAAGAGATGGATTTATAGCATTCAGAAGGTCATGTGTGCGAAAGTGAATTCAGTGTTTTTAGTCCGTCAATCTCATCCTGCTAGCCATAATTATAGCTTAGTAAGTGCCTGCAGTTAGTTTCCTCTAGAGTCAGTTATCAAACCTATGTTAAAGCCTTGAATGCTGAATTTCAAGGCTTTTCAGGCCTTCCCTATTTAGAAGACTGAAGCGTCACAATCTTCCTTGAAATTAGGCCGAAGCGAACGCCAGGAAATATGAAGCCTCGTTTTTGAGATGAAATGTATTTCCGTGCTTGTTACCTAGATTTTCACACAAGGCAGGACTTAGCTTAAAAAGTTGCCGCAAACAATCTTCCCACTTACTCACCTATTTGGCCTCGTGCCATATTAAGCTAAGTTTAGTAAATATCGATCGGAGCGAGGCAGGTGATACAATATTCTCAGGCTGACCCAATTCCAGAAATCTGAACAAATGACCAAAATTTAGAATTTTTTCAGCACCCCACTCGCATTTAATGCTGCAGTGTGAAATCGTAACAGATCTTGCTACCTTTTTTTCTTCAACGCCATTTCTCTGTCTGTCTTTCTCTCCCTCTCTCTCTTTTCCCTCTCTCTCTATCTCTCTCTTATTTTTTTGAATCTCTCGCATATTTTATACTATAGTATCGATTTGTCTATCCTTTCTTTATTGACTGCCTCTTCTTTCTTTCATTTTTCTTTATCTATCTATCTATCTATCTATCTATCTATCTATCTATCTATCTATACTTAAATTACGCTTTTTCTTTCAAAGTTAACACGTTCCAATTTTGCTTTTATCCCGTTCGTTTTTCGTTTCTATTTTCTTTGTTTACTTTAATATGCAATCGTAATTACATTTTCCCTCATTCCTTGTTTATGCTTTTCTTCGTGTCTTTCTTTAGTCACTGTTTGTTTGTTTCTTTCTTTCTTCGTTGTTATACCTTCTTTCTTTCTTTCTTTCTTTCATTCTTTCATTCTTTCTTTCTTTCTTTCTTTGCTTTCCTTCATTCAAATTTTCATTTCTTTAATTTTCTTTTCAAATCTTTTCATTTTTGATTTTCTTCTTCCAAATCTTCAAGTCTTGTTTATAATCTATCTATTATCTATCTATCTTCTATTATCTATCTATCTATTTCTATCTTTTTTGTTTCCCTTATTCATTCAAGTCTTCATTCTTTCTTTTGCTTTTAAAATTTTTATACCTTTTTCTTTCTTCTTTTTCTTTCATTCAAGTCTTCATTGCTATCTATCTATCTATCTATCTATCTATCTATCTATCTATCTATCTATCTATCTGCTTTCTATCTATCTTTCTATCTTTTTCATTTTCCTTCATTCTTTCTTTCTTTCTTTTCTTTCTTTCTTTTTCTTTCTTTTTCTTTCTTTCTTTCTTTCCCTTCATTCAATCTTATTCTATTATCTAATCCATTTCGTTATATCTATCTTCTTTATCTTTTTCTTTTTCAATTATTCACCTAATCCAAGTTCCTTTTGCTTTTTTCACCCAAGTCTTTTTTTTACCTTTCTTTCTTTCTTTTTTTCTTTCTTTCTTTCTTCATTTCTTTTCATTTATCTATCTATCTATCTATCTATCTATCTATCTATCTATCTATCTGCTTTCCTTCACTCAAGTCTTCAGTGTTATACCTTTTCATTCTTTCGTTGTTTGTTTGTTTGTTTTTTTCTTTCTTTCTTTATTTCTCTCTTTCTTTCTTTCCTTCTTTCTTTCTTTCTTTCTTTCTTTCTTTCTTTCTTTCTTTTAAACGCCTTATAAACTTGTTAGTGATTATCGTTTTCCCTTCCTCTTCACCTATGCCCCCCCCCCACTTTACATTTCGTCCTTAATTTTCATCTAATGTCTTCCCTATATTCTTCCTTAAGATTTCCTCTTCATCCTTTATTTCATTTTCTGATCAGCCATGCCGTTTTATCTTCGTCATGTTCTTTGTTTTCAGGACTTTTGCTTTTCAACCTCTCACACTTTATCGCCATTCTTCGTCGACGTCAAACACCCGCAAACTTCTCTCTGCCACTATTCACAAACACACGCACACAGCGAAAAGTCCAGTCTTGTACATTTGCAGTCAGAATTTTTCATATCAAAATGTTGTTCATCTAAGAGCCATAGTCGAACGAAATAAGTTCGATTATGGCTCGTCGTCCTTTTACGATTTCTCTCTTCCTGATACATTTTCCTCTCTCGCTTCTCTCTTTAGACCATTCGATTTCTTTCTTTCTGATAATTGCTCTTTTTCTTTATTTTATCTATTTTTCTCCACCTATCATATTTGTTTTACTTTCTGGTTCATTTTTTTTTCTTTCTTCTTTTTCTTTCTTTTTTTTTTTTTTCTTTCTTTCTTTCTTTCTTTCTTTCTTTCTTTCTTTCTTTCTTTCTTCGAATTTAATAACAACTTCCTCCTTTTTTCTTCCTTTCTTTATAACACCTTTCCACTTTATTTACATATTTATCCTTTGTTTCCTTCATTTTCTTTTTATCCACTTCGTTAGTTTCTTTCTTAATGCATGTTCAATTCGTTTAAAACCTAACACTTTCCTTCTGCCTTTCGCTTTCTTTCTTCATAAAAATTGTTTACGAAACTTCTTTCTTTCCTTTCTTCTTCCTTCTTTCCTTCCTTTCTTTCTTTCTTTCTTTCTTTCTTTCTTTCCTTCCTATGTTCATAACTGTTGTTTATCTAAGTGGCGCCTCGCGTTAGAGTGGTTATCTATCTATCTATCTATCTATCTATCTATCTATCTATCTATCTATCTATCTATCTATCTATCTATCTCTGAATATTGCAATCTCTCTTTTTCTCTCTATCAATTCTATTCTACCAATCTCTATGGCAATTTTCTCTCTCTCTCTCTTTCTTTCTATCTATTCTAGTCTACCCATCTCTCTATATGGCAATCTCTTTTCTTTCTTTCTTTCTTTCTTTCTTTTTTTCTATTATATATATATATATATATATATATATATATATATATATTAATCAACCAATCACTTTATATGGCAATCTCTCTCTTTCTCTCTATTTCTTCTAATCTACCAATCTCTGTCTATAGCAGTCCCACTCTCTTTATCTATCTATCTATCTATCTATCTATCTATCTATCTATCTATCTATCTATCTATCACTTAGATTTTGTCAATAATACTAAGTCCCGTGCCAATATAACCGCACCAACACATTCATGAACATATGGCGTGTGTGTTGACGTGCGCGTCTATTCGTACTTGCTTGTCCCACTTCTTCGTTCTATTTATACACACAATGCACGTGTTTCGACTTATTCGTTCATAACCGCCAACAAGGTAGAGCTCCCATTCGCCCTGTTGTCTAATGGTTAGCACACTGAACGTGTAGAACGTTAGCAATGGGTTCGATTTTTGCTGGATGCTTTATACTAATGGCTTTATCTCCAATTTAAACAAGAGATTTGTTTGCACAAACAACTGCATGCACTTTGGGATGACTGTAGATTATAATGCCGCTAGCACTTGGCGTCAAATTTTAGCGGTAGGTCGGTGACATTCATTAAAATACTGTACATAATTTTCAGTTGCT